CGGATATCTGAAATGTTCTTTTTGACTAGGCAATACTGAATTACAGATATCTGCAACACATATCCAGTCTAGCTGTTAAATGTTAAAATGGCTTGCCATTTCTCTGTGTCTGTGCCTGTCTGTGTGTGTTTGTGTAGGGGAAGGGGGAGGGGGGCTAGATTAACCATTTCACTGGTGTGTGGTTTGGCCTGCATTAAAACAGAAAATAAATGTCTTAAGCCTTGTATTTTTTAAATAAGTTTTATTAATAAAGTAAAGGCATTTAACCAGTTTAATTGTAGTGCATAGACAATAGTTTTATATAATTAGTTTATTAATTAAATTAACTTGGTCCATAAACTTGGTCTGAATATTTGGTCCATAAATCAAACACACTTGCATGTAATAATATGAAACTCGGTACACATATACACCTCATCGGGCCAAACAACTTTCGTGCTTCAAGTTTTAAGCCAGCCCAACAGGAAGTCGTCTATTTTGGTCTGAATGTGGATGTTTTTTCTGTCGATATTGGAACGTGAGTGAAGTACAAAGCCTATAATAAAGAATAGTTTAGCATCCAAATACATCGCAAATGTTAAAACAGTTTGATTCGAATGAGAGAGTAATGTGAGCCCATAAATGACATGATTAGTTCAAATAAAGATTGCCTTGTCACTGTCAGTGTTGCCTATCATTCATAAATAATTTTAATAAATCCATGAATCATTAAGTTAGCTATAGGCCTATGCTTAAGCAACGAGGGGACTAGACTTTAAAAAAGAGACGCTCATAGGTAACTCGCGCACGCATCTCCCTCTCTCTCTCTCTCTCTCTCTCTCTCTCTCTCTCTTCCTTCTCTTTCAGTTCTCTGTCTCTCTCTTTTAATAATGAATTTAAATAAATGTGATAATTCATTCAAATAAAAGCAATCCGATGGCTCTACTTTATTTAAAGCGGACGGAGTGCTAGAACTAACGAGCCGTAACTTAAAGGGGTCATATAATGGTACATGCACTTTTACAAGTTGATTGTACTGAAATGTGTGTTGGCAGTGCCTGTACACAACCATCATATAATGATAAAAATCCATCCAGTGTTTTTGTTTTAATCTCCTTATATGTTTTCCCCTGCCTCAAATTGAGCCGTTCGTTTTTGTGACGTCAATAAAACGGACGCCCCTCCCGCGATTGATGATTGACAGCAGTGATTCAACACAGACCCGCCCTCGCTCGTCCTGTCAATCATAGTCTGCGCGGACCGGCGCGGTCATTGTTGATATGCTGGAGCACTGTCTATGAGCAGAATGGCGTCTAAGCGATTGTGGTGTTCTGTTCTTGGGTGCAATAACGAACACAGCAGTCATTTAAATGTTCCTAAATCCGAACCGCTGAAGACGCAGTGGCTGAGTTTGTTTTCGAAGGGAATATTCCCCACGAGCAACGTCAATGCTCTCATGTTTGCCGAATCATTTCTCAGTGGACTGCTTTATAAACGAGGATCAGTGTAAAGCTGGTTTTGCTGAGAAGCTGCACCTGAATAAAGGATCGGAACCTATTCGTCTTCCTGCTGAACCTCTAGAACAACTGAAGTGAGTGTAACGTTTTATTCATCTTTATATTAATATTTATATAATCTTTGCAAATCGCCAGCTGCACGCTTCACGATGAATGCGTCGGTTTACACTCAGGGTACATTACAGCATGTTTTCTATGTACAACGTTCTCAATAAAATTCATAATCCCACGTTTATAATGAACAACGCGTGGTTATTGTGTTATTGTGTTACAAACGGTGTATGCGCAGAACAGAGGGGCGGAGTGAGCAAAGCTCATTATCATTTAAAGTCATATGCACTGAAACGGCGTGCTGAAAACAGAGCTGTTTTTGACCAGGTAAAATAAGTGTTTTCTTACAATACTAATGAGAATTTTTAATTAAAGTATATTACAAAGTTTTAATTTAGACCCTAAAGAATCATATTAGCTTGTACAAAAATAGCATTATATGACCCCTTTAAGAAAATAACCGTCATTTTGACACGTCTGTTAAAAAATTACACTGTAAACATCAGTTACAGCTTTAACTTCTTTTTAACTTGGCAACCGAGGTATAAGCGGTTCGCGCCACTTCGCGTTCCGCTTCGCGTCGGGTGGTTCTTCGCCTCTACGTCGTGCATTAAAATCCTTTAATGCATGGCTAGCCGTGGATTATCCCTTACATATATTATCATATTTCCATAAGAGTGCTACATTTGATGACTAAATTAATGTCAGACATTTTTAAAGACCAAGGAGAAGTTGTTTTCATGGTGAAACTACAAAACATTTGGTATCTCTGAAAAGCCCTGAATGTGCTCTTTACAGGACACCCAGGTGTGACATGTGACATGTATGATGTCAGAGAAATTCACTAAAATATAACGTCCACTACAGTGGACAAAAGTCTATTCCTGGGTCCCAGGAGGATAAAACATATCCCTGTGGGAGACCGGATTTTAAAACCACATTCTCTGACTTTTTGCCATTTACCATCACACGTTGTGGGCGGTCCCATAAAAAAACAATGAATCCATCAAATCAAGGTTTGATGCACCTGTAGCTCCTCCAGACGCCTCAGAAGTGTGTTTATATTCACAGTATTAAAGCCAGAAGAAAAGTCCATAAATAAAATCCCAACGGATGAATTTGCCAAGTCCAAATCCTTCACAGCCCTGTCCAGCAGAGTGAGGGTGGCATCTTCAACTCCGCGCCCCGTTTTATAAGCAAATTGTAAAGGGTCAAGTTTACCAGTCATTGCCTGGGAGAGTTGCTGACAAACCACTCTCTCCATACACTTGCAGAGCACTGATGTTAAAGCCACTGGTCTATAGTCTTCAAGCACCTTATGCCGAGTTCAGACTGCACGATTTTCAAAATAATCGGGTCACTGTTGTTTTCACACTGCATGACTATCTGGGGTAACATCCAGTTGCTGCTGTGTTCAGACTGCACGATGGATCTGCGACAGGAGGTTTCACACTGCATGACTTTACAAAAGAAAAAATCGCCGACAACTTCTGCCTGGTCCGCAAACTACGTTTCACAACCAAACAAACGCGAGAAGTGATAAGGAAATAACGGAAGATCACACGTGCGTGAGGCCGGAGTTCTCGCGCGACACTGAATTTGTTATTAAAAATGATAGCCTACAAGAAGATTGCGATCCAAATTGTCTGTGCACTGATTTGTAACAAAAAACAATGTGAAAAAACATTTGGTTGGGAAGACGAGGGGAGCAAGGACTGTGTTTTGCAAAGAGAGTTGGGGGTAAATAAATAATTTTGCAAATGTCCTGCTGTTGCTGCTGGTCACGCAAATGTTTGTGCTTTGTTTCTGTTTGATATAATTGTAAATATAGGCCTATCTATTAAAATACTGATATTCTGGTCTATAACTCCTCCCCGAACAGCCTGCTGTCCTGTATCTTGCTCTCTCGTTGGCTGTCGGTCATCGCCGATGTAGTTTTCAGTCAGAACACATTCACACAGCAGGATTGTGAATCGCCGACAGGTCCAGATATTTAGCATGCCAAATATCTCACGGGCGTCGGCGACTCGTCGGCGATTCTCTCAGATCGCGTCTTTGCTCATTCACACTGCGTGATTGTCACTCGCGTGAACGAGCACCGATTTGCCTGTGATTTCGGGCATTTGTCGGCGATTTCTCAAAACCTGTCGGCGAGCCAAAATCGGGGCTAAAATCGTGCAGTCTGAACTCGGCATTAGCATGAGCCTTTTTTGGTAACGGGATGATGGTACTTTCCTTCAAGGACTGTGGTACAACATTAAAGTCAAGAGACAGCTGAAAAAGTTGTGTCAACACACCCTTCAGCTGAGATGCACATTCCCTCAGTACCTTGCCCTTTATTCCATCCGGCCCGATGTCTTTTGGGGTTTGACTTTTATTAAAACCTTTTCCACAATCTGTTCCTCAATTATTATGGGGGAAAAGTCCGAATGCTCTGTCGGAGTCCAGTGCTCATCTGAATAGCTATTATTAAAATGAGCATAAAACTGATTCAGTTCGGTAGCAAAGCAGGCAGAGACAGGGCATTGGATATTGTTTTGCTTCTGGTTTCTTCCCATCATAATGTTTAGGCCCTGCCAGAATTGGTTGAGAAATGAACACCAGAAGGCCCAGAATTGCCCAGAAGTTAGCCATCTATTACAGGGATGGGCAACTTCGGTCCTGGAGGGCCACTGTCCTACAGAGTTTAGCTTCAACCCTAATCAAACACACATGAACAAGCAAATCAAGGTCTTCAGGATTAGAAAGTTACAGGCAGGTGATTTGTTTCAGGGTTGGGGCTAAACTCTGTAGGACAGTGGTCCATCCCTGATCTAGTATATAAATAATAAATAAGTGTAAACAACAAAACACTTGATGTAAAATAAACAAAACAAACATCAAACACGGAGCCTGTGTCACGAGTCGCACGAGCAGCATTGCACCCCGGATTTTATTCAATCCAATAAAGTTTTTATTCATCACCTTTAAACAGCGAGACTAAAAACAAGTTGTTTGTGATATGAATGATATTTGATAGACTGTTGTTGCCATTGTTTCACAAATGCCTCACATGTTCAATGAAAATAATGAAACCAAAAAGAAACAAAACACATCCCTTCATAAATTATAGTGTTTTATGGCGACAAACTATTTTTCTGAACTATTATTCTTGTTCCATCTGTATGAGATGACCATGCACTGCTTGAGTGATGACACTGACACGAGTATTTTCACATTGTTGCTTTACTGTTCAGTTCATCTTGTATACAGTAACACTCAGTGTTTACTGCGCATGTGCAACACAACAGAGGATCAATACGGGTGTCGGAAGAACAAAACATGCAACACTTACAATGCAGTTCACAACCATTTTAACCGGTTCCCCTTATCAAACAATCAAACTTCAATACTAATTTTAGTTTTAAATTACTGTAGTAAAGGTTATTCCATCTTTTGCTTATTTACAAGAAGTGAACTTTACTCACTCAGACATCTTCAGGCAATGCTTTTTCTTATGTTTCTGTAGACTAGATGATTGTCTGTAACTCTTCCCACATGAAGAGCACTGGTACGGTTTCTCTCCAGTATGAACTCTCTCATGATCTTTCAGGTGTCCTGAATGAGAGAAACTCTTCCCACACTGTGAACACTTGTGCGGTTTCTCTCCAGTATGAACTCTCTGGTGGGATTTTAAGTTGCTGGATGAAGTGAAGCTCTTTCCACAGTCAGAGCACATATAAGGTCTCACACCAGTATGAATACTCTCATGCACTTTTAAAGATCCAAGATGTGAAAAACTCTTTCCACAAAACGTACAAAAGTGAGGCTTCACACCAGCATGAACTTTAAGGTGTGCTCTTAAGTTTGGTTTAAAAACAAATGTTTTATCACACTGATCACAGCTGAATGATCTCAATCCAGAGTGACGGCGCAGATGATCATTGAGAGTTTGTTTATAAGTGAAACTCTTTCCACACTGAGTGCATGTAAAAGGCTTTTCTCCCGTGTGAATCTTCATGTGTCTGTTCAGATATGATTTACATACAAAACTCTTTCCACACTCAGAGCAGGTGAAAGATCCTTCAACTCCAGATTTTCCAGCTTGTTTCTGTGTGAAATTCTCTTCAGTCTTTGAAACGACTGCATTTCCATCTTCATTAGTGAAATAATGAGGTTTTTGAAACTGATGCAGTTTGTCTTCATTCACTTCCATCAGGTCTAAAATAAACAAATAAAATTACCATAATTTAATAAAAGGATAAATGAGAAACAAAAATAAGCATTGTTCAAAATCTCAATTTTGCTCAAATCCAGTTTAGTCCTGAGTCTACTAGTATCTAGTTTTAGATGTTATTGTTATATGTCAGTTTTCATCTTAATGTTCCTCATCAGTCATTAAAGAAAATGAAGGAAAACACCAACCTATTTGTTCCTCTGTATCTTCATCTTTTATTCTGCAGGTTTCTTCCTTAATCTCCATCTTTACAATAGTATGTCCGTAGTTTCTCCTGGAGTAATTCCTCCTGCTTGCTTCTTCTTCTCCTGTGGGAAGATGGGAATATTCCCCAGCATTTAAACTCTCATGAACGGCTGTGGGAGCTTCACTGACTGAAGGAGTGAATTGTGGTCGTTGTTGCTCATTTAGCAGATGATCATCACACTTACAATCACTCGAGATTATCCAGGTGCAAATAGTCATTTAGAAACAATTCAATGATTACTGAATTTACACTTTGGGCTTCATATCAAGTGGTGATGCACAATTATTGTCATTCATTGCATCTTGCATTGAGTGTAGAATTTATGTTACAAAGAAAAAACAAACTTGTGCTAATTGAGTGACTTAAGTAATTGACACATTTCCTTGAGTAGCCATGTAATCAATATAAATTAAGGTAAACCCACAACCAAATTCAATAAGAATAATAGAAGAACAAAAAGAGTTTTACCCAATCATCTAGTTTACAGAAACATCATAAAAAGCATTGCCTGAAGGTGTCTAAGTGAGCAAAGTTCACTTCCATAACTTGTAAATAAGCAAAAGATGGAATAACCTTTACTTCAGTAATTTATTCTAAAATTAGTATGGAAGTTTGATTGTTTGACAAGGGGAACCGTTTTATATGGTTGTGAATTGTATTGTAAGTGTTGCATGTTTTGTTCTTCCGACACCCGTATTGATCCTCTGTTGTGTTGCACATGCGCAGTAAACACTGAGTGTTACTGTATACAAGATGAACTGAACAGTAAAGCAACAATGTGAAAATACTCGTGTCAGTGTCATCGCTCAAGCAGTGCATGGTCATCTCATACAGATGGAACATAAATAATAGTTATATTTCACTGTTACAGACTGCCAGAGACGGTCTAACATAGTGAAAGGAGTCGCGTCTCGTGAGCCATATCGAGAATCTCGCATTGATTTGTCACCTGTGACCCTGACCGATGACGTGTCGGAAGCTATATCCGCGGAAGCTATAGTGTCACCAGATGAGGCTCTTACGCCGCCTTCACACTGGCAGTTGAAATCAGCTCCGATACGGCTCCGAAACGACCGGAAGTCATTCATTTCCTATCGAGATTCGCAGGCCGCATGCGAATGGGTCCGAAACGGGTCCGACCGAGTGCGGTGCGAAGAAAATCGTGTCCGTTGGTCATCCGGATGCGTTAAAAAAATTTGAACTCTTGCGAAAAGCTACGGACGGTTCCTATCCCACAATTCCAGCGGAAGTTAGCGTTGCTATGATACTGATAAACAAACCTGAATTCTTATCGTTATAAAATCATTATTTATTTTATTAAAAGTTAAGTTGTCATGTCATTTTTTTATTTTCATGATTTGCTAACGTTATTAGGGCAGTTAATACAATTAAATTGTAGTCAGACATCGAACTAAATGTGATATAGTAGTATAAATTATACCACTATATCACATTTTTTAGCCGACCTGACATGTCAACGTCCTGAGCAACTTTCCTCACGCAGCAGCCTTCCTATTAATATCTCTATAACCCTCATCAGAGAGATCATACAGAACTGACAGAATCAACCTTTCTAATCTCTCCGCCATTTTTGTTCTACCCGCTTCTGACGCTTTTCACTGTGTAGTACGACGTCCGTTGGGGGCGTATTGCGTATTACGGAGCTGATTTCAACTGCCAGTGTGAAGACGGCGTTAGACACAATCTTCGCTGTCCCAACCCAGAGTGTAGACACACAGATGATCTGCTGGTCAGGTTTTATAATACTGTCTCAGGCTTGAGTCGTGTGGGGAATTCCATGGCTCATCTTCTGCTAGCACTTCATTCTGCTTTGAGTACTAACCCACCAGATAATACCACATTTGAGTTACTTGAGGCTTCCTTACAACCCTTGGGTTCCATCGCGTTCTCTAGCGGAAAGGCTCTTGGGCTTACTACACAGGCTAGGCGGCAGGTTTGGCTAGCACAGTCTAAACTTCCAGAGGCTTGCCGTAGCAATCTTCGTCAACTACCACTGGTACCCGGGCAGATTTTTGATCCAGCCGCTCAAGAAGCTCTTGAGCGCAGAGTTCGTGCAGTGGAGTCTCTTTCCCAGCACTTTGAGCGCAGTGTGAATTATGGACCATCCTCACAAAAAATGCCTGTTCGTCATGCAAATCCACTCCAGTACAGGCAGGGACAGTCTTACAGGCCTGTACAGCAGGCAACTCGACCTGGGTATAACTCGAGAAGGGAGGCATCCCGTGCTCGTAGACCACCTGCTCACCCTGCGGCGACTTATCGTCGCCCCCCCCCCAGGGGTAGGGAAACCGCTCCCCATCGCTGGTGACCATCCAGGGTCTGTGATGGGACACTTTTCAACCTCTCAACTACAACTTTGGAGAGGGATTACGAACAACAAGTGGCTCCTCGACACACTCGACAGGGGCTATTGTCTTCAGTTCCATCACAGACCCCAATTATGCACACACACTCGGCCCACATTGGTTCTGGACCCTCGTCAAGCTCTTTCTCTATCTCTCGAGGTCCGGAAGCTACTGAAAAAGGGTGCGGTAGAGCTAGTAAACCCCCAGGTCCATCCGGGGGGATTTCATTCAAAGTACTTCCTAGTTCGCAAGAAGGATGGAAGCTTCAGGCCAATCTTGGACCTCAGACGCTTGAACAGGAGTCTCAAACACCTTCCTTTCCGCATGCTGCGTGTCAAGGATGTCCTACAAGCAGTCGAACCCGGCATGTGGTTTACCTCTGTGGATCTGAAGGATGCATATTTCCACATCCCCATTGCACCTCATCACAGAAGGTTTCTTCGGTTCACATTCCAGGGCAGGACATACCAATATCGAGTCCTACCATTTTGCCTCTCCCTCTCTCCCCGTGTATTCACACGGTGTATGCAAGTGGCACTAGAACCTCTACAACGGGAGGGCATTTTAATTCTCCCTTACCTGGACGATTGGCTGCTTTGTGCCAGATCCCCTCAGCAGGTAGCCAACAACACACAGCGCCTACTGGAGCATGTTACTGCTTTAGGACTGAGGGTAAACCTGGAGAAAAGCTGCCTTACTCCATGCCAGTCAATATGTTTTCTGGGATTACATCTGGACTCCAGAATAATGAGGGCTACCCTCACAGCATGCAGGAGGCAGGCTATACGAGGAGCCATAGCAAGGTTCCAGGTTCGGCGCAAGCTACCTTATCTTCACTTCTTACGGCTATCGGGCCTTCTCACGGCAGCCTCATCGGCCATTCACTTAGGACTTTTACACCTTCGTCCTTTTCAGTGTTGGTTTATAGCCAGACGGTTGTCAGCAGTTCACAACCGACAGACCCTTGTTGTGGTGACAACCAGTTGCTCTGTCTCCCTGAGGCTTTGGAGACGGGAACAATTTCTACAAGGGGTTGTACCAATGGGACCACTCCCATCCCGCAGAGAAGTAGTGACAACAGATGCCTCTCTCCGGATGGGGAGGGCTGTGGCAACACCAGGGCATGCAGGGGAGTTGGACCTTGCAGCAGGCGACATCTCACATCAACATCCTAGAGCTGTGGGCAGTGCTTTTCACCCTAAGACACTTCAGACAGGAGTTATCGGGGAGGCACATCCTGGTGCGGACCGACAACACCAAAGTGGTGTTTTTAATCAATCACCAAGGGGGCACTCGGTCTCTACCTTGCCTTCGACTTTCACGAGTGCTGCTGTTGTGGGAAAACCAGCACTTCCTGTCGATCAGAGCGGCACACATTCCCGGTCACTGCAACTGTGTGGCAGACTCACTCTCTCGATTGGGTCCGAAGCCAGGGGACTGGTGTCTGCACAAGGCGGTGGTTCAGTCAGTTTGGGGACTTTATGGGACCGCAGCAGTCGACCTCCTTGCCAGCAGGAATACAACACATTGTCCGCTGTGGTTTGCGGAGCAGGAGGAGCAGGGATCACTAGGCCAGGATGCCCTGGCCCACGACTGGCCAGACCTCCTCCTCTATGCTTTCCCTCCAATTCCACTTCTCTGGCCTGTGCTGAGGCGTGTGCAGATGAGACGACACAGGCTTATTCTAGTGGCACCCTGCTGGGCCAGCGAGACCGCGGTTCAGTCTGCTGCTGGCCCTTACGACCGGTCCACCACAACCATTGCCAGTTCAGAGGGACCTACTGTCACAAATGAACGGGGAGCTTGGCACCCTTCACCGGGCAGGTTGAGTCTATGTGTATGGCCCCTGGGGTTGAGCAGGAGCTCTCACAGTGTTCCGCAGATGTGAGGAACACTGTCATGAATGCAAGAGCCCCATCAACACGTCGCACTTATGCCAGTAAATGGAGGATCTTTGTTTCATGGTCTACAGATCGGTCTGTTAACCCAGTCACTTGTTCCATCAGTTCAGTGTTGGAATTCTTACAACATTTATTGGACACTGGGCGGTCCCCAGCGACTCTAAGGGTATATTCGTGGCAGCCTTGTCAGCACATCAGAACCCCTTGGGGGGGAAATCAATTGGTGCGGAAAAGTTGGTGGTGGCTTTCCTTAAGGGAGGATTACGTCTTAATCCACCGGTACGGATAATGCTGTAGCAACAACGAGAATGCAACCCACACGAGGGAAGCGTTCGTACATAACCAAACACAAGGGGCTGCATATTCCAAATTATCCCTGAGGCTATGAGCCAAGAAGACCTTTTGTTGCTTAACTAAAGGAAGAATGTTGTCAATGTTTTATAATTTGGCAAGAACAGATCTGTT